GATATAATAGACCGGAAAGTATGTTACCGCCCATTTCAAAACTTTTAGACAATGCCATATAAGTACGAATAGTACAGTACTTTAATAATATCTTCAATCCATTTTGACAGCTTTTAGATCAGGCTTTGAATGTCAGTCAACTTTATTAAGAGTGATTGAAGATTGAAAATAAGCCTTAGACCAATAAAAATACCTTACTTATCAAAAGCTTTTGACTGTCTCCCCCATGACTTACTGCTACTGAAACTAAAAGCTTATGGTCTTTCAAAATCCTCACTTGATATGTTTTTTAGTTAATTAACAAAGAAAAAACAGTGTGTGAAAGTAAACCAAAATTTAAGTGGTATGCTTGACATATTTAAAGGGGTACCAAAAGGTTCCATCCGTGGACCCATCCTTGGACCCATCCTATTTAAAATGTTTATAAATGATTTGTTCTTTATATAATTTTGCTGATGACAATACTTTGTCAAAGTCTGGAAATTCCTTACAAGATGTCATTTCTGCTCTTGAGGAAGACAGACATTATTGAATACAGCGGTTTTCTTCAATTAAAATGCAGGCCAACCCAGAGAAAAGCCAAGCTATTTCTTTTGCCAAAACACAGATGATAACAAGATTGTGTTTGATTTGGATGGTATTTCTATATCATGTAATGATGAGGTAAAACTACTTGGAGTTACAATTGATTTCAAATTAAACTTCAATTTACATATTTCAAATATTTTTAAAAAGGCTGCAAGGCAATTAAATGGTTTGAAGTGAATTGGGGAAACACCTAAACAAACTGAGTAAACTTAAAATTTATTACTCATTTGTTGTGTCAAATTTTAGTTACTGCCCTTTGACTTGTCATTTCAGTGGGGAACAAAATACAATGAAAATAGAAAGACTACAAGAGCGATCGCTTTGTTTCATTTATGAAGACCATCAGAAGTCGTACGAAACACTCCTGCAGATTTCAAAACTTCCATCGCTAGTAGAATACGCTCAATTGCCTTGGATACCTTTAAAATAATTAATAAAAAATGATCCTGTATTTATTCAAGATCTAGTTGTTATAAAAAACAATTCATGCAATTTCAGGTATGTGAACACTGCTGAGGGACATAGATTAAGAACCTCGAGTTATGGTGAAAGATCTTTATCTGTTATTATGTATATATGTATTACTCAAATCTATGGTGGGTTCCAGATCTATGGCAAATTCCTAATCTATGGTAAATAAGACGTCACAAACGCCAAACAAATCATACATCTATGGCAGTTTTTTGTTTTTTCCAAATCTATGGCAGATTTTGATATTACGTAATTTTCCGATACAATTAAACAACGTCACGTAACGTCCAAACCGCCGCTAACGATGACGGTTTTGTTAAATAGAAGAATATTAAAGGCCAGTTTTCAAGGACTCTAATTCATAAATTAAATTATATTTCAGAATCCGAGTTTACGTTAACGGAAATCCCTGCAAATGAGAAAATGAAATCATCGGATTCGGATGAAATAAGAATATTAGCGAACAAACCCATAGTCATTCGTAGCAGCAAAATCGCTGGTGCAGGCAATTTCACACAAACGAATATGTTTTTAGTGCTTTCAGTGTTAATGTTTTGTGTTTGTTTTCTCTTGCTTGTTTTCTTGTTCTTATGTTCCTCGTGTTGTCCCTTAAAATTACGAATTTTTGCTGTGCATTTTGGTTTGCATTTTGCTTTTCTTTCATAATTTTTCGTTGTGATATGCTGTGTTCTTGTTATTTTTTTTATCCCTATGGTCTCTTTAATTTTTCTTTTACATGTAACATAACCCATAGCATTTTGTCAACTATATAACAGTGACTACCTGTACTATTGTAGCAAATACTCTTTCTTGAGATTTGGAAACAAACAAAAATCTGTCACAGATTTCTAATAAAACTGTACTGTTGGAGAAAGAAGGATTTTTTTAAGAAAACCACGTGTTTGAGGCAAGTCATTGTTCATTACAGGACTTCGACTTAAAATCCTCATCCGTTAAAAAAAGATTTATTAACGCTCATATAAATACTTGGTAAATGTCAAGCTGCTTTTTAGGTTGTTAAAGGACTTGGTTAAATGAAGGGTCAAACAGGTACCATGCACAGAGTAGGAAATGCTTATTTTTCCGGGGCACACCATTTCACCCCTTAAGTCTGTGTTCATTTCACAAATGCTTATGGGTATGCTTCCTAGTTGTACTCCTAATCCGTTTTTCTTATACTGGCTTTTACTTAAAAGCAGCTTTTTCGCTACCTTTGGACATTTCGACTTGTTTAAGGCAACTTGGAAATCATTGGTCAGATATGTACTGACTGGTCCTTCATTTGCAGAAAATCTGCCATAGATTTGAAAACTAGAAGTTCGCCATAGAATAGGAAAATAAAAAATTGCCATAGATTAGGATTCTTAACAATCTGCCATAGATTGGGGATGGCATGACGTCATATTTACCATAGATTAGGAATCTGCCATAGATCTGGAACCCACCTTAAATTTGAGTCCTACATATATATGCCGACTTTAAATAAAATTTACTTACTAACTTATCACTTATGGTTTGCCGGTTACAAATACATATCACTTATATCAAATGCATAAGGGGAAATAACTCTCATATGGAGTCTCCGGATTTCTAAGGTCAAAATTATTCTCCATATCCTTAAGATATAACGAGCAATTTGGTAAAATAAATTTGTTTTAATCTTTTACGGTTGCGAAGGAGTAGTCAGAACAAGAAAAACAGTGTTCGGGGAGATAACTTTTACAAAGTAAATAGTTCGGTTAAACATTGTCAGATTTAAAAGCGTATAAACTGTTCGATATCATATACCAAATATCTAAGCGACAACTTTTGAAACAACAATACTGCGCAAGAAAAAAAAATGGCGGAAGAAAAGAAAAAATAAAAACCAATTGTTAGAGAATAATTTAAGGTCTTTCCACCCCAAAAAAAAACAAATCTAGACAGGAAAATAGTCAATCAACTATATATCACGTAATTAAGATGACAAATAATGTCAGTACCTAAATTCTATACTTCAAGACCATCATGTATTATTTGTGAAGTTGATACGAAATATTTATCAACAAGGTCTTGGTATCTTCCGATGATTCTCTTTAGAAAAGGGACGAGGCGTTTTTTTACATAACCCTAGTTCATCAACTTGCTGCTGACGTTTAATAAAGTCTGAGGTAATCTAAAAATATCATAAAATCTAATCTAATCAGGTTTAAAAAGCATTTGATTATACACCATATAATGTATTATAATTTTGATTCTAAAATAGAACCTTTCTTATAAGAATTAAATTTTATGATATTAATTAGCAGTAATTCAACAGGTGTGAAAATTATGTAATATAAATGATATTTTCAAGATGTAAAACATTAAATCACCTAGGTCATATAGTTTTGTCATCAGACTAACATATTTCATTTCCTGGAAAGCAACAACAATTTAGATCAAACATTCGATGAATAGAACACTTTGAAATATATATATCATTGGTTAATGGGTTAAATCTTTTTATTTGAAAAGAAATTTAGCAAAATTGCTTGATTTTAATCAGACTCGGTCAATCATATGCTGTTCTTCGGGTTTAAAAAACTGTTGATTATTAAGCATGGAATGTATTATAATCGGCATCATGATGAATTTAATTAACTGAGTAAATATTTTTTTGCAATAATACTACATCTACAGTCATCAAGGATTCCCGTTTTCAGACTTTATTCAAATAATTATTGATTGTATATACATGCCTTCATGAATGACAAATCCTTGCTTTAATGTATCTGTGCAATTGGAATACAAAATAAACCTAAACTAAGAAAAAGTTTTAATCACAAAAATACTGAACTCCGAGAAAAATTCAAAAAGGAAAGTCCCTAATCAAATGGCAAAATGAAAAGCTCAAACACATCAAACGAATGGATAACAACTGTCATATTCCTGACTTGGTACAGGCTTTTTCTTATGTAGAAAATGGTGGATTGAACCTGGTTTTATAGCTAGCTAAACCTCTCACTTGTATAACAGTCTCATCAAATTCCATTGTATTGACAACGTTGCGTGAACAAAACAAACAGACACAATAGGTAAAAATGTCAAAAATAGGGGTACAGCAGTCAACATGTGTTATCATCTTAATCACTATAAAAACAAACAAATGTAAAAAAGAAGCACAAAAAGGCATACATCAAATTTAACATCCTCATTTTGCTTTTTTATTATACGATTTTATTTATCTATGTAAAATCCACCCATAAAGGATGGAAGGTTTAAGTACTGGCGTAGAATCGCGCGTTTGACGGCACACAGGTAGATATAAAATAATGTTGTCATTCAAAGTATGACGGGATACATAAGTACGGAGTCACGTCAAATGGATATCACAAAAAAAAAGACTTAACAGTAAAAGTAATATAAATAAAAAATAAATTTTTGTCGTTCAAAGTATGACGGGATACATAAGTACAGAGTCACGTCATATGGATATCACAAAAAAACAATCTCAATGATTTGCACTAAGTATGTCTTGGCATTTCGAATATTTTGGATACATAACGCTTTTTTCACTCTGAAGATTAAAGTATTTTGCCAAGATGTGTATAGATTTTATAAGCAAAATTATGTTGACATTGATTTTGATGAAAGATTCAACAAAGTTTGACAACTATGTACAAAACGTCAACTCGTACCTTATTTTCTCTATTTGGATCTATATCTGCTCTTTCTAATAACAATTGCACTATGTCGAGATTTCCACCACAAGCAGGATGTTTCAAACGATTTAGCAATTATACTACTCGACCAATATATTCATACCCTATCTTCTTTTTTTTTTGGGGGGGGGGGGGGGGGGGGGGGGGGAATGAGAAATGTGTATATTTTAATAATAATGTTTTAAGTTCTCTTCTTCTTTAGTTTTGATGGAAGATTTAACAAAATTGGACACTGCTGTGTAGAACGTCATTTCTTACCTTATTTCCTTTGTTTTGATCTATATCTGTTCTTTTCAATAACAACTGAACTATTTCGAGCTGTTTACCACTAACAGCTGAGTGTAAGGGAGTATCACCATACTGTAAAAATACCATAATACTGAAATAAACGGCTAAAAGACTATACATATGCATTAAGTATATAACTTGTGTACATACACCATCCTTATAGTGATGAGTAATGGAATCCCTTTTAAATTGACAAAGATAGCCAGTTTTTTCCAGGCGAAAGTTGGTTGTTCTGGCTGTTTACTCCAGCTTCCTCCACCAACACAAAACTGGTACCCATGGTATAACCAATATCACTGATAGTGGCATTCAACTCTATAAATCGCATGTTTGTTAAACTGTTAAATAAATGTGTTTTATGTTAGAAACTGGTGTACATAAAACATTGTCATGGTGATGTGTATTTGATTCGAATCTCATTTAAATTGACAGATTTCCAGTTTTCCAGAAAGTCGATTGTTATGTCTGTTTACTCCAAATTCTTCCACCAACATTAACTGATCGCCTTGGTATAACCATTATAATTATATGTGGCGTTTAACTCAACAAACAAATCCATGAACATTATCATGGTGAGTTGTATCACACTCATAGTATAACCAATGATCTCATTGCGGGCAGATTTCAATAAAGTGGTCTCACTCAAGGCAATTGAAATATGATATGATGTAGTTAAAGCTGTCAAAATAATATTGCAAAAACAAACAAACTGCTTACACCTACGTCATTTGTGACGTAGTTGAAAGTTGTCTCATTCGCAATCACCATTCGTTTGATGTGTTTGAACTTTTGATTTTGCCATTTGATTGGGGACTTTCCTTTTTGAATTTTCCTCGGAGTTCAGTATTTTTTGTGATTTTAATTTTCACATCACATTTACTTTTCCAATATGTATCAGGATATTTGTAATTTTAACATCATATTTCTTTTTTATTATTGGATATTTCAAACGATTTAGCGATTATACTACTCGACCAATATATTCATACCCTACCTTTTTTTTTTTGGGGGGGGGGGGGGGGGGATGGGAAATGTGTATATTTTCAGTTCTCTTCTTCTTTGGTTTTGATGGAAGCTTTAACAAAATTAGACACTCCTGTGAAGAACGTCATTTCTTACCTTATTTCCTTTGTTTGGATCTATATCTGTTCTTTTCAATAACAACTGAACTATTTCGAGCTGTTTATCACTAACAGCTGAGTGTAAGGGAGTATCACCATTCTGTAAAAATACCATAATACTGAAATAAACGGCATGCAATGTTCGTATTTTCCAACAGAGGTATAAAAAAATATTTCATACAAATGATTAGAGTACAAAAAAGCATTGGCCAACAATTCGAGATTAATGCATATCAAAATCGTTTTTTTAAATTGCATTTTGATGAAACTGTACATATTAAGTATATAACTTGTGTACATACTCCATCCTTATAGTGATGAGTAATGAAATTCCTTTTAAATTGACAAAGATAGCCAGTTTTCCAGGCGAAAGTCGGTTGCTCTGGCTGTTTACTCAGCTTCCTCCACCAACACAAAACTGGTACCCATGGTATAACCAATATCACTGAACGTGGCATTAAACTCTATAAATCGCATGTTTGTTTAACTGTTAAATAAATGTGGTTTATGTTAGAAACTGGTGTACATAAAACATTGTCATGGTGATGTGTATTCGATTCGAATCTCATTTAAATTGACAGATTTCCAGTTTTCCAGAAAGTCGGTTGTTCTGTCTGTTTACTCCAGATTCTTCCACCAACAAAAACTGATCGCCTTGGTATAACCATTATAATTATATGTGGCGTTTAACTCAACAAACAAATACACGAACATTATCATGTGAGTTGTATCACACTTATAGTATAACAAATGATCTCATTGCGGGCAGATTTCAATAAAGTGGTCTCACTCAAGGCAATTGAAATATGATATGATGTAGTTAAAGCTGTCAAAATAATATTGCAAAAACAAACAATATGCTAACATCTACGATATTTGTAACGTAGTGGAAATTTCTCTCATTGGCAATCATATCACATCTTATATTCATAAAGAGAAGAATATGTATTTACTTTAACATCATTTTTCTTTTTTAACTTGACTTTTGTTTCAAACCTTATGTATAGTAAGAAAAAAAGGAAAGCGATACTTTTTAAATTTCAATGCGTCCGATGCGAATTTCTTGATTTTCCTTCATCAAGAACGCTCAAAGCCGAATATTTGAAAGCTAATTATTGAACTTGTATTTCCTTGTAATAATTGGACTATTGTCAGTTCTCCTTTTCTATTTTCAACAGCTATAATATGTATGTGTAAAACAAAGTCGCAGTCAAAAAATGAATAGAAATAATAAGATGTTTTAAGCTAATACAAACATACATTGGAATATTCGAACCTTGATGATATGCTGTAGTTCACTTTTTAAAGTAAAAGTACTTCACATATATAATTAATTTAATACTATTAAATATAAACAAACTTAGATAAGAAGGTTACATGTTTACTTTAGTACTATAATGACATACAAGGAAAGAATACAAAACTGCAATAGCCTAATAACGACATTTAAAAGTGTACACACTTCAATTAAGATAAAGAGTTATAAAACATCAGTTGTGACATTAATTCAGCTCCAAATCCATGGTGTTTGATTGTTTGTTTATTTGGTAGGTGAGTGTTGTTACGCAAGTGTCTCTGTAATATACACATCTTCTTTTATTCATATGTCATTGTATGGACATATAAGTGTAAATGTCTTGGAAGATTAGAACTTACTATAATTAACATATGTTCATTCACGCGGCTTTCATTCATTAATTTTAAAGTTCAAAATTTGAACATGCAATATGGAGCCAATGCGTATGAACAGTTTCAATATTTTTTTAAATGTCATAGATAAATTCAGTAATTGATTCAGATGAATTGTTCGAAAACAAATCTGAACTTTCTTCTATATACAATGCAACTTAAGTAGATTTTTCATGTTGATGTATATTGAAAAAGGTTGAGACAAATTCACCAAAATATATTTTATGTCAGGGTCATCTTCAAAACGTTTTCAAATCTTTTCTTAAATATCCAGTTTCAAACAACATTAAGGGGTAATTCTTAACATATTACCAAATAATAGATCAAAGCTGCAGCTTCGCAAATATGAGTATTTACCGCAAACAAGGAGAATGGTTACCGTTTTCTTTTCAAAACCAAATTATTTTGTCTTTCAAATACAAATTAATTGATATTTTCCAATGAAGAAAAAAAAACATCTAAAAGTTAGTATATGGTATTGTCGACAGCAGTGAATATCGCTAAATAAAATTTGAATACAATTGAGAATGGAAACGGGGAATGTGTCAAAAAGACAAAAAAAAAGAAAACGACCAAAGAGCAATAAAACAGCCCAAGGTACCAATGGGTCTTCAACAAAAAATCCCCCACCCGGTGGTTAGCTTCAGCTGGTCCTAAACAATATTGTATACTTATTCAGCGAAAATGGACGTCACACTAAACTCCGAAACATATACATGAACCAAAATAAAATAAAAAAAAAAAAATACAAGGCGAACAAAGGCCAGAGGTTCCTGATTTGAAACAGGCGGAAAAATGAGGCGAGTTTACAATGTTTTGTGACATCTCAACCCTCCCCCTATACCTCTAGCCAATGTGGAATAAACAAACACACAGCAATACGCATAGTAAAACTTAGTCTGAGTCCGTTATTAGAATAGGTAACAGAGGAAACTAAGCAAAATGACAATAATCAAAAGGACTACTAGCAGTTACTGACATGCCAGCTCCAGACCTCAATTAAACTGATTTAACTGATTGAAAGATTATGTCTTCATGATATGAAAATCAAGCACAATCCCTCCCGTAAGGGGTCAATTCTCATTCCATTATAAAATATACGAGAAATACATAATCCGTATCATGCCAACAAGTGGTTTTAGAATAAATATGTTCATTTCCGATGAAAAGACCCTATGAGTGTCTCAATATTTATTAAAAGTATGCCATCTTTAATGACCTGTCAACAGTATAGTAACTGATTTGGTCTGTTTAAAGGTTTTGGTTAGGGTTTGAGATGAATGACGACATGTTTGCGCTTTGTATAGAATATTACTATAAAAGATGGGATGTGAAATACCTGAACGTATAAGATGTCTGCACGTTGATTTATATTTACGAATGATTCTTTGTACCGATGATTTTAGTAAATGTTTTGACAAGTTGTGATATCGAAAACCCTGGTGTAATAATTTTTAAGTCATACAGAGATTTATTTCGTTAAAATCAAATACATTATTACGTACACGACCGAATCGAACAAGCTGGGATATATAAACACCATTAGATGGTGCCAAGGAAACATCACCATCTAAAAATGGATAATTAATAATATGAAATGAAAAATCATCTCTTTTTATCGTAAATGTAGTATTAAGCTTCCCGTGAGAGATACAGATGTCAAAATCATTAGTTCAATAGCTGATCGCAGTTCAACCTTTAAAAACGAGATTGTTGGGTATGGATTAGGATTGATGACTTTCAATATGTTGCACGTTGACCACTAAAAGAGTATGATTTTAAGTTCAGACAGGCACTTTCATAACAAAGCATCACATTTTAAGATGATACATATATATCACACGAAGGATTCTAAAAGTCTTGCATTTACACTGAAGTTCTGGGGAAGCTGGATGTCTAAAAGTTTGTAGTTCGTTATTTTTATTCTCAAAATTACTGGCACTGACATTTCTGTTCATAGAAAAAAAATAATACAGTTTCTATTTAGATGCTAAAAGTGTTATCACGGCTTACAACTTTCTAATAATGAATATCAGTTTTGGGATCGTGAAATAAGCGTAAAGTCTAGGGGGGTTGCAAAATTTTAAGAAAATAATAATTTAAAAATCAACACTACTTTCCTGAAAATAAAAATGATTTCAATTATATTATTAGCGTACCAATAATAGGCACCCTGATCCCCCTTGGAAGGTAATAGTGTGTACATGATGTTCAGTTTTTCTTAACTTCGGTATAGATTGAATGAAATAACAAAGATAAAAAAAAAATATAGAAAATCATTTGTTCAGAGACATATTTTAATCGAAAAATATGCACTGTCCGATTAAAATGTCAATTCTTGTGTCAGAAAATACATTTTAGCTTAATTTACGTTGTTTCTAAAAAAATATATGATTTCTGTATATTTTTTCTAAAAAGAAAGGAGACAAGTAAGTACTTCCGGTTTACAAAATTATACATTCGGTTTTATGTAAACCTTTCTTTAAACTGATTTTAAAAATATAACGTTCTTGTTACTTTAACATGAATTTAATGCAATTTAGTAAAAGTTATTTGTCGCTACCTTCTACGGTTTCTTATGATAAGTGTTAATAAGCAAAAAACAAAATATATAACATGACCTTGGCCTTTGACATTGACCTTATTTTTATTTTGATGGATCAAGGACCTCAAATCAAAAGACCCTGAGACATTGAGGATGGCGACAGGGCATGGCGTACTTGTTTGGACACTGCTAGTTTTTGGACTTTTATTACGTTTAAAACCACCTAAATCAGATATACTGACCAAATAATAGATGTAAACCTGAAGGCTTGGGATATTACGCATGTACAAATCTATCCTTTTTGACGAAATGTGACTTAATCCTGAAAAACTTTTGCCCTCACTCTGTCGCAGAACATAAAATGGCCGAGAAGAAGAATGCCATACAAGCAACAAAAGCAACAAATAACATTTTTACAATGCGGTTTTACCTTACTTATCCTCATGAGCGGTGATATTGCACAAAATCCAGGCCCAATAAAATATCCATGTGGGATATGCTGTAAACCAACAAAGAAAAATCAGCGAGCTATCCAATGTGAAGATTGTCTGTTCTGGCACCACATCAAATGTATTAACATGCCTATACGCGAATATAATGAACCTATCTAATAACATAAGAGAGAGTTGGTTCTGCAAATCATGTATTTCACCAACCTTTACGAATTCTTTTTTCGAGCTGTCAATCAACGAGGAAACAGCTCATTTGAATTATTCTCCCTGTCATTCAAGCACGTTTTCCGGATCGACAGATGTAAACATTGGGATATCATTTGCAAATGACAACATGCATGATAATGTTTTTGAAGAGCTAAAGAAAGTTCGGAGCGGTAACATCAGCAACATAATGTGTGGGTATTTGAATAT